TATATTATGTTCTCCTGTAGACTACACTGGTCAATGGCGAGCAAACTATTTAAAGCTCTGAATTGTTTACGCCCTCTATTCTACAGAACCTACTTTACTACCAATACTAACGTATGGGGCGGGAATCTGGGGTTTTAGAGAATGTAAATATCTGGAACGAGTCCAATAACTCGCCTGTTTCTTGGTGTTTCAAATGGGTCAACAAATAGTAGAATGTGGGAGATATCCTATTTATCTGCATTACATATTGGGCAACATTAATTTCCATGCCAAATGCAAGGTACCCCAAGAATTGTCGGGAGCCAGAACAAAACACACCTTGACATCCAAAATGTACTTTCCATTTGTAAAATGAATGGTGCATGGCAGGCACAAGAAGTTGGAAATGTTTATTTTTTTATAAATACGTTTGTGGAACGATTTAAACAGTTTCTCTCCTTGGTATGGCGAGCTGACTTGTGTACTTTAGACAAGTTAGATACTTACTGTAAATTTAAAATTACCATAGAACCAGAACGATGCTTTCTTTCTGTTCATATTCGAACACACATGCAATCATTATCTCGGCTACGATTACGATGTTCATCACACTGTTTACGAATTGTAAAATGACATAGGTGATCTATAAAGAGATCAACGTACGTGCAAGCTTTGCAATATGAATTCTATTGAAAACAAGTTCCATTTTTTATTAGTTTGTAACTTTTATAATCGTATAACTCATGTATAGTATATATCATAATTACTAATTACACGTTGATATTAAAAACAAAACGTAATTTGCTATATTCCAAATTATGATTGAAAGAAGCTAAATGAATTTACATATGTACGTAGTGAACATGTGTTCAACATTTCATGTATGAACAATAATTTCAATACATTATTTGGTACATTTGATAAATGCTACCTGAAACTCAGTGCTACCTTATTCACTCAATTTTCATCTTCATTTGTCAGATTTGTGTTCTATTTTCTTATGAAGAAAGCCAATCCTTCACGTTCAATAACATGTGAGTACACATACAATCTTTTTTGTTTTCAATTAGAAGAGTAGCGAGATATATTAAGCGTCGCTCTTTCTGTTTGCTCAAACAACCGTTGAATTTGAAAAGCTGACTCGCTACGACAGTGGGCCAGGTCTTTGCTTCTAACATGGAACTAACCCCAGGGCTCTGATAAACACATCTCACTTTTACATACTAGCTCTTTGGAGATTCATTCTGAGAACTTTCAATTCTTTAATTGAATTATTTAATTTATAAATTTTCATTTTCCTCGCTAGTTTATGATATTTTACCAATATATATGGCAAGGATGGAATTTCGTTTCTCCCTCTAGTCGCATTATCGTTTTTGACCTTGTTGTGGTGTGCGCAGAGCGTAATTCCGTAACTTTCACCGTGTATTCTCATTGGTGGGTGATGAAGGCCGCGTTTAACACTGAACAGTTGCAGGAAGCAGCGATACTGCCGGAGACTAGAAGCATATCAAGCATAAATATTGTAACTGATATAAGTATTCAGACATGCTGTCGTATGTGAAAGATTGGCCAGTGTGCATTCTTGTTTCTTTTCAAATATTCATATAATTGAACTGAGCTATATTCGTGCACATCTATTTTCTTGATAAAGATCCATTGTCGAAAACGTCTAGGTATTTTTAATAGTTACTTAGGACAACAATTACAAAATATTATCTGCTATATATTATAGTCTAAATTACCCCTGTGTTACCCAAATATTGAATATTATTTAGGGTTTAATATTTGGCTCGATATTGTGACCGTGTTGCACTCTAGGTCAAATCTGCACGTTGAAGGTTACCTCTGGTGGTGTTCAAGTAGTGAAGCGATAAACCGTGGAACATGAAAGAAAAAAGACGTGCTGACGCCCCCACCCAGACACAATCATACAACAACCGTGAATAGTCTACATTTTCGCCAAGTTTATTCTAATGATGAAGTTCACAGATTGTAGTGCAAACAAAGTATTCGTCTATGGTAAGGAGACTTGCATTTGAACCACCCTTGCGAATCTGAACGTTTATCTCGCCCGAGAAGACAAGCAAAGCTGGAGACAAAAGCAAGATGGCAGGCAATAGTTACAAATTGACACATACCAGTATAGAATAGATACTTGATTCATTATGCAATATTGTAGACAATCTATTAACTATGCAAACTACATTTTGTGAAGTACACACGTCTGTAAACTTCATGAACTCGTTCTTCGAAGAATGTAAAAAAGAGATAATGAATTACGCAGTGTAAACGATTTACCACAACAGAGTGTAAGCAAAACGGGGCTCAGAATAAAATTGAATCAAAACAAAAGTACGCCAGACGTAACAACCTAATAATCCAGGGAATACCAGAAAAAGACGATGAAATTTCTTTGAACCAATTTTGCGCCTCAAAAATAAGTTGTACGTTTCATCACTTATTATTAGTATTTATTATTATTTACTGTTTATTTTGTTTATTCAAGGGTCACAGACTAGACTAGTTCCAGGTAACTATTTCCGTTATCCTCGCTATAAGCAATTTATATAAATATCTAAAAAATATATGTTCAAAATACTAAATTATATACTTATTTATCTAATTCTTTTGACTCATGTGTATTTATTAACTTCATCTGTATATTAGTATCTCTATATTTAGTGAAATCAACTTTTAAGTAGGCAGAAGAAGACGAAAAGCCAAACATCAAATTGTTAATAGAATTTATGACTGATTTAAACAACCTGAAAATAGATATAAGTAAAATGTACATCATATATTAGATCATAATGCACAATAAAACTAAGAAACTGTCTAAAGAAAAGAATTAAGCACATCATATGGTATGGGCACTAGTTGAACATAGTACAGTCTAGTCATAAAAACACGTACAAACACAGCGGAAATGATACTTTAGTAAGATAATCCGCGGTCATGATAAACACATGATGATTAAAGTTGAATATGAATTCTTTGTGCTAAAGACGGGGTTCGACATGCATTATCCGATCCGGCACACACTAAGTTGACACAGTTGCAAGTACAGTATTATAAACATAGAAAAATAAACTAACCGTGTAAAAATTAACTCGCAATACAACGTACACACAGCACAATCTTTCACAATGTAACAAAACCCAGCGAAAAAGTACACGCAGCTCACATATTCTAAATTCATCCACATGACTCTTCTCGGTATTATTAATCGCGCATCATTATGCAAACATTAGTCACAAAAACTGGCCGGTTCAGATGAAAAGTGTCACTTGCAGTAAACGAAAGGCATACCTAGAACAATAACAACGAGGAAAAGAGTTGTATAACAGACATAAACCCACAATTTTGTAAAATCTACCCGGGTTAACACTCTCGTGCAGTTTACTCGAAAACTGAATTAATTGTGAATTCACATGTTCTTGTACTCACAAACCGGAAACCACGGAGTGGCGTAGATTAAAACATATATAAACACAAACTTTCTAGAATCTTTATTTTTCCTATTTGACCATAACTAGAAAGAGATTAATCATAGCTAATCAATTCATTTTGATGTTATTTGGTGTTTTATCAGTTCAGTATGGCTGGATATGCTCTACGATTATGTCTAGGTTTACTCGACTTTCGAAACAAACAATAGTAAGCGTAGCAGAACGAGTAGCGTTGATTTCAGTCGAGGTGCATCTTTGATCGCGTCGCTGAGCAACAGCAAAATATGTATTATCCCGCTTAACAAATATCAAAATACTAATTCGAAAGTCTGTAATTTGACTTTTCGTCCAATGAATACTGTTATGTGTCATGCAAACGCAGCATGTTAGTACATGATAAATCTTAGTCGATATGATAGTAAGTTATAATATAAGGGAAAAATTAACTGCAATGATAATCAATTATTATAACTTTATAATATCATATAATTTAAAAAAATAAACTTGACAATCAAACATCACATAAGCCAACATTTAATAACCTAAATTTGTAAATTTATTTAAACTTCAACCATGAAATCCAAAGACATTTCATTGCAATAAAACTACAGGAATTATAAAATTCAAACTGTTCATTACGCTAGTCGATTTTTTTGTTTTATATCATTAGAATTAGAATTATACACCTTATAACTAATATTGAAATTACAATGTAGTATTATAGAATACTCTTGCAAATTCTTCTTTGCATTTATCAACTCACTTAATTTAATCTGACCGAAGAACTACTGGAAGCAGGAAGTAGTTTTTATAGTCGTTTTACAGTCGTTTCAACATATCATCAACTTATCATCACTGAATTGAGTCACTATATACCGAGTAATTTCATTGAAATACGTCTATATCATTAATTATTGCATAATACGGTTATGCATTGCTTGGAATGTGCTGATGGGTCGTTTATGGCCCGCCCGGCGATTTCGCAGTAAGTTGCAATCAGTAAACGTCTCATCGGCACTTTCAAGCCATACACTGTCACCAACGTCTAATATAAAAATGCTTTCAATTTTCATCACAAAATTACAATCATATTTAATTACAGTTGAATTATATTACCCATCATTCTTGAACACATCCTTATCTGAGTGATACCTTAAAGCAATATCCAAAAACTACATAATCATCCACCATATTTGAGATAAAAGAATAACATATTCTGCATATTTTCGTAAATAAAACAATGCCTCCAGGTCTTACCTACATATCGATACCAGTATGATGCACGAATGCAAAAGAACCCCAACCCAACCAAACACTAAAAATTCATATACCTACAGACTCAAAACTGAAACTCCAAGCATAACATATTTTGCACAAAAAGTAAATACAATTACAATGGTCATTCAATCGGAACAACCAATTGACAAAGCACAGACACGATTTTCTTATATAATATGGTGATATGCTATTAGGAATTGTAGGATCAGTTTGAAATCACAAAGATGAATTGCTGTTCTAAAATAGTATTATTCAGTAATCTAGTAAACAGTGCAATGGGGCTTAACACACCTGCGCATCGCTATCATGCTTAGTCCCTTTTGTCATAATATCAAGATCGAGAACGTGGATAACACAACCAATTAAATATAGACTTCCGGTGACCAGAACTTGTACATGGTCTGCTTCCATGATACTTTGCGGTGGTGTTGGATCCTCTGATCTCGGGTTTGGCATATGAGAATCTTTGCCACATGATAACCACTGTAAGGCGTGCTTAACACATTCAAATTTCACATATTTTGACGAATCTGATTTAGTTTTTGAAGAAGATGCTGCCAATTGGGAGCCAGGATTACGCTCTCTTTCCTCTTCTAAACTCTGCCACGCTTGCCTGTTTTGTTTGCACACATCGTGTTCTACCTCTATTGGTATTTCAAGGAATGATCTATCTACAATATAAATTATACAATTTATACAGCTTTCCTAAAATTGGCTAGTACATGAAAGCAATATAATCATAAAGTAAATACATAACGAAATTCATTATTAAAATGAAAATACGAGAGAACGTTATTTTGTCAGAACCTGAGATCTCATTACCAAAAAAGCTGCCGCACATATTACACATATGACTTTGTGTGATACACATACACCATTATGTTAAACATACTCGTATGTGACATAAATAAGTGTGTTGCAGATAAACTAGTAGCTCATATATATCGAACCATGACATGTCAAGATTCTCGGAATTCAACAACATATCTAATTACAATTTTATTGACACACTGGCGTTTAGTAAAGAAGCACGTGCTGAAACGTTTTTCATTTTATGTATCGTATAATTTTTACACAAACAAATGCCTAAAACAGAACATAATCAACTTATTTAAAATCGCGTAGAATTTTATTTAATGGGAGTGATTATTGTTAAGTAGCAGACAATCGAAGTGGACAGCGTTCTCGGAAACGATTAACTGTATGAATGAATCGTTGGATAATACAATACGTCATATATTACTTCCGATGTCAGTGAAATTTGATTGAAAAGAAATTACAAGTTTTAGGTTAGATTAGCCAGCCTCGCTTCTATTTCAATAAGAAATGTTGGTCTTTTGATCGATGAAATTATAAACATGAAATTAAGTGGCTAGTCCAGACACACGAAGAATGAATTTTACTATAGCTTGTGAAAATAAAAAGTACTGCTAGCGACTTGCAGGTAAGAGTCAGTTGCAGAGTTTTGCATTTGAATAATGTAATTCATATTGTCTACGATTGCAACACTGTTCGCGGTATAAAAATAAACTATGTGTTGATTAAAAACCTGTTTTGATGATAAAGAATCTTAGATACACACTCAACATGGATGTGTCACATTTAATTATTAAGAGCAGCGGAACACGAAACCCAAAGTAAAGAAAGGGGAAAACTTAACACGATGGGAACAATAAACAATTACTCTGTTATTACACGACAAAAGGAACAAGCTTAATCTAAACGCGTATATGGCAACACGGTTTTCCTGTTGATGGTAGGGATGTAGAATCACAGAATGAACAGTTTTGAACAGTCATTTAAGTATAGGATTTGGCAATATTTGATATTTATGCGCATGAAACAATATCTAATGCAATTTACAATGAACATCTGTTACATCCAGTGTTTTTTCTTGTTTGTTTGAGTTGTTGAAATATGGTGAATTATCAACAACAAAGTTAATATCATTTGAGTTGTTGAGGTCAAGAGAGAAGAGTTTTAGTGAGACAGTTTTACAATTACTGTTGTTGTAATTCAATATTAATGTGAATATTCATCAGGTGGAACAATAACAATATCTGCAATATGTCAAGTAAATAAGATTGAACTTGAATTGATTTAATGAATGAATAGACCAATGTCAACGGGCATTTAAAACGATTGTAGAAACAATTGTGTAGTATTAGTGTGGAGGATTATATAATATCTTATGAATAGAATACCGACATAAGTACTATTTGATTTTAAATTGCCTTCTAACATGAAAGCGATGGACTTGATAAACTGAGAGTAGTTGTATATGCTCGCAAAGTGAATGACATTACTCAGCACATGAATTTATGTCATTATTTCTAAAATAATCAAGTTAATGTTCAATAACCCTTTTACATTGTGGGGCGAATACCAAGATTGATGCACACACAACAAAGAATACCGGGCAGTATTGTCTAATTTAGATTTCACAATTACCTACTGACATAAAAGTAACATCGTCGACACAGATGCATTATCAGAACAGTTGAAAAATGAACCAAATCATTTAATAGATAGTGTGACCATGGACTTGACATGACAATGATAACATAAGACTTTGTGTCAGAACTGAGAAACTGATGCTCTGAAATCTCTGTATTATCGTTACAAATTGATGTGATACAGCATGTCAAAGTTGTATTAGTAACGTGCAGTAATTCGGCGTTCATAAATCCCGAACATTTAGATTCATGTATGCAAAGCATGTTTCCATAGGATCAGATGTAGGAGGGTGTAAACACTAGATTATAGTGTATACACAAGATTATAAATATGTGTGTGATACATCTAATTAAACTGTAGCTGCATTAACTCTTGTTGATTGAAAACTGTCGACAAATGTTTAGAGATCGCTTACCCATTAATGACTGACTAGAGTCAGCATAAACGACATTGGGAGAGAAGGTGGCGCCTGCAAAATTGCAAGGGAGTAAATCCATCATTAACACCTTTGGATCACGTGCGCGGGTAACATTGAACAGCAGAACTTTCACACAACGTTTCCTGTAATGAAATATTGTTAAATGCAGCGTTGATTACAGCGTTGATTGAAAAAAACAAACTTAAGATCAGTAAGAATATCAAAGCAGTTTAGTCTTATATTATAACTTCTATTATTTTTGGTTAATGTAGATTCATTCATTGTTCTTTGTACAAAAAATGGTAAAATCTACGTGAACAGATGTTTCATAGAACGATGAAGCCTACATAAATATTGTAAGGCTTGCAATATCTTAACAGTAAAATTATAGTAAATTATATTTTAACCACCTAAAATCTAGCAATCTAGGTAAACTAAACTGAACATTCAACCATTGACAGAAGCAATATACATACTGAAATACTGAATAACATTTGATGGATTGAAACTAGTTTGTTTCTTTCACTTTTTATTTTACCCGAGAGGTTTCGTCGGCTAGTTAAACTGGTTCTCTCACTCAGGACCTTTCTTCTTTACAGTTGCAGCAAATTGACTTGTATGGACAACCCTATAAACTAATTACATTATCTCATAACGAACACAAGCACACTTTGTGTTATATATATGCCGTAGAAAGTGTGCTTTCGCCCATTATGGGTTGGCAGGTCATCCACTATTGTTTAAATAGTGTCTACAATTTCTAATTATTGGACATTTTGTTGAAACCCCTGATTAACGTAGAAAATTGTTCTTGGTTTAAAGCAACTTCCGGGAACTTTAGGCTCACCAAATATATTATACAACGACATAGGCCTTATATCCACAATAAAACACCCTTGCTTACAGTTTTCAAAATGAAATGTTACGTAAGACAAAATAAACGCAAGGACGTAACAGAAGACACAAATCATAAAACATGAGAAAGAATGCTTGAATGCCCACCTATAGGCACGACCCTATATCTTAGATCAATGCAACAACTATTAAGACTAGTGTCACTGTAAGAATGCCCCCTGACAGACAAATCAATATTAATAGAATTTATCACGTTATCACGTTTACAAGAGAGTCCAACTAATCAAACTGCCGTGGAGGTGATGTGGAAATGTTAATCATGTCAATTTGTACATGAAGTCTTTTGAGCGTTTGGGTAATGTGCACACTACAACTGTTTGTCCCTGTACATACCCGAGCAGTAATGCTTCTTCTGATGATGCTTGTTCAAACCATTCAGCACAAGCCTTGATACTCAGCTGTGTATGAGCTCCGTCCATATAGTAAGTCACATTCTCCCGCTTTATGATCTGTGTACGTGCTGGCCAGTAGCAGTTTCGAAGACCTGTGGAATTAGTAATTTATTATAATAAGAAGTTAATAAAGGCGATAACATAAATTGTTTGAGATTGATATCAATGACTTGGAACTGCAGCGACAAACTCTTTCGTTGTTATCGTATAACATAGTATGTATACATCTTAATAGGTACCTTTTCAAAAATAACTTTTCTTTAGATGGTCCACAAACAAAGATGCCAAAAGTTATTAAGACCATTCCCAAAACATGTTCTCATCAATAACGTCTTCAAATAATTTAATCACTCACGTCCTTATCTAAGATGGCTTGTGTTTATATTTATTATTATCTTTCTGTATTATGAGTCTAATGGCAACATTCACGTATTGACTATGGTATGACTATATGAATGGTGAATGCAAACAAGGTATTCAAATATATCATTACTTTCAGACAAAATAATTGTAATCCAAATTAATAAAATCATTGCTTACCTTTCATAAATGCGTCCGGTAACTTGAATGCTGGAGCTGTCAGGCTACTGTAGTCCACATTGGCATTGGTATGTACATCTTCAAAACTAGTGAGGTCTTACGAAAATAACGAGAATGGTTATGCTAATGAAAACGTTGTATACCATGAATACAATTAACGGTTTATTGAATTTCATATGCTTAATTTATTTGATGATCCTAATTCATTAACATTTATGAATTTAGTGTGTGACAATGTTACTGGGAAATATTAAAACCTTCAATAATTTAGTTTGTTCAAATGTACGTTTACTTAAACACAATATAATAGAAACAAATGTTTAAGAAAAGTATATTTAAATGTAAAATTCACAATTGTATACATATTACCGCAATGCATGATTTGAGACACTTGTATTGTATATTTCCCCTGTAAATGTGTTACATGAAATACAGTTATAACCAAAAGCAAGACACGTCTCAGGAGTCAAATCATTACATAGCAGAGCGCCTTGCTTTTTAATACAGATTCACTAATCGTAACTAATCACGTATGTTTTGATGCAAAATCAAAAATGCACTAAGACGCTTGCAATGTTATCATGTTCAATCAAACTCAATCAACCGTACACAGGGGCTTACACATTTACGTCGTTAAATAGAAACCTAATTGCGTTATGCTTATTACGTCTGGGGCTCCCTTTTAAAAGTAGTCTTTGCAAAATATAGAACATATCAGTGTCACATGTGATATTTTCATGTAAACAATTTAAGTTTTACACGCGAAAAACAAAAAAACTTGTAGACAGTTCCATGTATGGACATTAAGCTCAACATTTCCAAAAAGTATCAAACATCTCTCTGATACTGTTAGGGGTGTTTCAAAGTGTTGGTAAATTATTTCAACAAATGTCAGCAACATGTATATTTTGATATCGCGAAACTCCATAATCCATGAATTGTTTTAATACTTACTCGATTTATGCTCGTTTATCCATGCTCTGCACAACTGTATTGCTAAAGATGCATTGCGTTTCTGATGCTCCCCTGATATACCAAGCTTTTTAGGTTGTCCCTGCCAATCATAGTCATCCAATTCAGGCACAAGATGAATTGGTGCCTGTAAACATAAAGCACTAAAGTCAACCACTGACTTTTATTTTAAGACAATATTTAGTATTACTTTGTTGTTTAGTTATTTAATCTAATAGTGCTCTATTTGTCTGAGTGTTTACATCAATTATGCTCAATGTCGCTGCTCATTTATATGAAACAAATACATTAAAATAAATAAATATGTATAAAATGGTGTAGAAAGCATTTCGATTATGTGGATGTATGTACACCAAATTATTTGAAGGCGTCTACTTCACAGTATTTTGATTCATCGCGTATGTAAATTGTCTATCACAGAAATTGCAATTGTATACATACGTCCAGCTCTTTGGCTCTAGCTATTATGGTATCAAGGGCTTCTTTAGATTGCGGGACTGTGAATGCAGGTCGACCAGGCTGCGGGAAAACAAGAAATGATTCTAAATGTACTAATCTACTGTTGGTAAAATTAATAATACGAAATTTGTCGGATAGTACTTAAAAGACACACGTTTTCCTACATGTTAAACAAACATTTTCAAGAAATTTGTATTCATCATAAAATAACATGACATAATAAAATTATTTTTTTTGATATTTATAAAACACAGTCACTGACACAAAAATCTCCATAAATTAATACCAGATATATAAACTGTTTTTGCTCACCTTGCAAATACCAACTTTATGCCAAGCTATTTTAGCTAGAGTGTCTCCCAATACGTGCATATGGTCGAAGTCAATCAGGTTTATACCAGTGGCTGTAGGACGTCTTATAACGTTAGTGCAATCATATGCCCCACCCCTGCCTACTTCCAGAATGACAACATCAACCTATACAAAAGATCACTAGTTTGTTAACCGAAGTTTGTGAAAATAGAAAACCATAGTTTGTCATTTCATGCAACAGCTGTATCGACAACGCAGAATAACATGCCAATGACGTCTGAATTTGTGATAAACATTTGAACTTCCCATCAAAACGGATATCAGTTGTGCTTGTAAGCTGCTTTTTAACATATACATTTCACTAAACATTAGTACCAACAAGATACAACAACGACATACACAAATATGTACACGTGTCAATTACATAACTATCAGAATAATCTATTTCTAAGTCAGTTTATGCATGTGGTACGTAATCATCCCAACAGAGTTAATAATTATACATTTACTGTGAGACAGTTCAATATTGAAGGGCGTCCACAGAATATCTCAACATACTGTATTGCTGGCAGGGTTATTTCCAATCTCTGACCTAATAAGTTTGTTATTGTCCCTGCTAGTTTGTTCTGGTGTATATAATTCTTCTTAGTTCACATTGAATGATTTGAGGTAGATTAGATAGGTTTACTGAAGGCAGACTTTTGGGTAGCTAAATAACACAACATAAAGATGGAAGTGAATAACATAAAGCAATAAATTCACAACGAGACCACATATAATAACAAAACATAACACAAAGACAGGACTACATAACATAGAGATGGGACTGCATAACATAAAAATGACTACACATTCATGACTGCATAACACTGATGAGACTGCATCACATAAACATGGAACTACATAACATAAAGACAGGACTGTATCATAATATTATAATAACACAACATAAATAGTTAGGGCGCTCAAATATGCACCAAGCTCGTATAGGTGAGTTGTAGCAATTTTGATGAAATCAATTTAACAATGATTAGTCTAACACGCAATTAAATTATTAAACTACTCTTATTTAGGGAACACCACCAATAATCTCAGTTAGAGCAAGATAATACCAGAAAAAATACAAGGTTGCACAAAATTGATGAAAAGTGAGTGCACTCTGAACAAATTATAATTGGATTCATGTTATATTTACACATTTCACCACACAAAAAGAGAGAGGGTTACATTGGAAAATCCAAGTTGATGGAACATTTCAATTATCGGTGTGAACACCGTTTGCCAGAGATTTAGAGCTGATGTGTGATAGGCAATGTCTAGCTGTATTCAGCTTTTGATACTGCGTGGGTAGCTTTTCTCATTTACTGATTTCACATAGAGTTTAGTCTAAAGTGACAGATTGAACATGATCAGTGTGTCATTATTACTACATTGCACACATAACATAATGCGCATGGCCAAAATCTATTTAATGCTAACAATTCAGTATTCCGTAAATTGTTCCTTAATGAAAGTCTAAGACAGAATATCTTACCTTTTCCTGTAAGAACGCA